ATGAGTCTTTGCTTCAGGGTAGTTTCATAATACATTGAAATGTAACAGGTGCATTAAATAATCCATATGGTAATATATCAACTTGTCCCAATCTATTTCCTGCTGTAAAGGTTGTCTTCTCTCTACTAGTTTTGTCAACTTACACTTGCTACTATCCATTCTTAAGATCCAATGTTGAAAAACATTTTGATCCAATTAAAGTATCGAAAGTAGAGTCAGTCTCTGGCAGTTGGTATCAATCCTTGATTTTGACTTCATTCACCTTCTGATAGTTTACATACAATTTTGTGGATCTATCCTTCTTCTTCATAAGTACAATAAATGATACCAAAGGACTAATACATGATTCTATCAGTCATTGTTCTTCATGGCTTCTATCTCTTTGAAAGCCACAGTCTGTTTTGTAAGTTGGAGTCGTCTGGTTATGTAAATGAGGTGGAAAAGGATTTTTGCAAGGATTTGACACAAAATGTCATACATCTTGCCTCAAAGGTAACTGTATCTTTTATGCTCATGGTTCTAATGATAACATATTCTTCAAAACCATGAGAGTTCTTCCCACCATTAATCCATCAGGGCATGCTGTATGTTTGGTTTTATTACACCCCAGTCACTAGATGCAAATGTATTTCTCATAAGTCTTGATATAAGTATTTCACTTCTTGGTGATAGAATGACTGCTCTCCTTATTGTCATTGGAAGTATATACTCTGATGTAGTAACTGTCATGCAGTATGCAGAGGTTTTCTGATCATAGACTGTAGAGTTATTTGAAGCTGACCTACCATTTGATCCATGTCTCTGCATAAAGTCGGTTCCACATATGCACTCTGCCTCTATGAGAATAACCAACATGTCATGAGAGATAGAAAAGTTCTCACATCAAGGGGAACTTTATGTCACATCACTTCACCTTCTTTCCTCATTGCTGGAGACAATTTCTCATTTCTCATTACCAAACTGGGTTGGACTGTTGCAACTGTGGAACCAGTGTCGATCAACATACAGCAAGACTTCCCATCAATAAGCCCATGGGCTGGTGTCTATAAATAATGAGCTTATCTCATTTGGTGTAAATGGAGTGTTCTCAACTGAACAGCTATTTCCTATCTATTTAATGTGTGATTAGCTCTTTGTTGTTCATTTTATCTGTTTGGACTCAAAGACTCATCCTTTAGGCATTGTTTCTTTGCTGTATTAACAGCTGTTGAATCCCCACAGTCTTGGCTGTAATGACGAGGTCCTCAAATCTGTAACAATTCCCTCTTTCTGATATCATTTTGGAGGGGATGTTATTCCATAAAGCCTTTTTCTACAGTTCCTTGCAATATTCTCTATCAAGTTTTACCTGAAACAGCTGTATATTTCCTCCATTCTGTGTGACTAATTGTTTAACTAATCCGATCAACTATTCTAGAATATCATTAGAGGGAGTTATTGTTTATCTCTGATTTAAATGGATTCAAGTTCCATCACCAAGTGGAGAGCTTCCTTTAACTGAATATGCACAGGGTCAGTCCAATGGATCAACCCCATATTGGAGAAGTAATGTTGACTATAATTAAGAACTTGCAAAACGTATCTTCACAAAATATGGCAATCTTTAAGTGAACAGTACAAGTCTATTAAATACAAACATTCAGATATGTTAATAAAGATTTTGTACTGAAGATACGTCTGAGAAACGTTGAAGTCAGTCTAACTCTTACAGGTCGGAATGCAAGACGATGTTCACGTGAAGAATCAAAATACTTTTATTTATTGCACAGTTTGCAAATTGCATTTGAAGAACCTCTACAATCATGTAAATGCATATCTAAAAGTTTTTCTGTACCTCTCTATATCGTATCTGGTATTTTCTCTACTCTAACACGAACTGTTGTGAAATCAGTAATGTGACATGTTTTTAACTCTCACATCAAATGCATAATACCAGATCATATTGCATTCTTCCCAGAGTTGGGGTATGCCACATTGACCCCCACCCATTCATATAGGGGTAAAGGTGTAACTTTACTTTGCTAAGTTTGCTTCACCTAATTCTCATATCCTTGCCTATTATGGCATCTATAAACTGGTAACATGTCAATGAAGCCATCATTTCATGAAGAGCATCCAGCTAAGATAACTAGACAACTATTTCCTAGCAGCCGATTAAAGTTATGGAATGGCCAGGTCCAACACCAAAAAGCCAACTTTCAAAATCTCAGTACAGTACCCAACATGTAATAAAGCCAACTGCTTTACAAAAACGTGTTTGCGACCTAAAGATGGGTGTCTTATCTCAAATGTTGTTTAACAGTTTACATGTAACATCTGTCACCATACGTACATTGGGGAAACAGGAAGAACCTAGCTTACACACAAAGATAAGATAAAATATTGACTATCTATATAAACAACAACGTGAAAGAAGCGCAGTTGCAGATAATTTTTTAGCTAATTATAGACAAATAACACCTGACTTGAAACCACAGTTGTCCATAAAAATCCTTACCAAAGTCACCAAGTACACTGACAGAAATAATAGGGACAAAGAATGGTGCTTTTAATTTTAATTATTATATTTTTCATCTTATTTTTTGTTATTTCAATCTGTAACTTGGATAGAATGTTTGTTTACTACAAGTAATATGCAGTTAATTATTTCAATAATACAATTCTTTCTACCGAAGCTTTACTACTTAATATGTCAAAGGCATATTATTTAAACTATTTGAATATTTGTACTGTCAGTTACGGTTTGTGTTTTAGTGGAACACCCCTGAAGAAGCTATAAAGCGAAAAGTTGACTGTCCAATCAACAAAATAACAAATTTAGGTGTTATAAAGTCGTTTATTTTTAATATTGAAATATCTTTTATACACCAATATATACTACAGAAATTAAATATTGAAATTTCACTGAATACTCATTTACTATTCACTCATTAAATACTTCACTTAACTCTGAATAAATGAATTCACTGTCTACTCGAATTTAGTAGCTGCATCTTTGTTTTAGATATTTCGCAAAAACTCTCGATCATTAGGTTATCGTTACAACCAGCAGCTTCTGTTAAACAAATAAATCACTACGTTGAAAATATAATTTACAACACTGACCGATAAATTATTTGGTCGAAAAATAAGTCTGCAGCTGGGCTTCCAAGGTATAAAGCTATCACCCTCAATATTGAATTCATATTCTTATTTTACCAAAAAAAAAAATCACTCAAAATTAAAATGTGCAAAACCTTAACATTTTTGCACACTTAGCTCTAATTCATCTACGCCCCTGGAAATCAAAACAGAAATATAAACCTTTCTTTGGAGCATAAATTACTTAATCCACATATCAATTGGGTTGCAGGTCTTCGAACTTTCCCTAGAAAAATATATTCGGCGTCATTATACAAGGTAAAAACAAAGAGATTAAAAGTACAAATACTTTGATCGATAGATACTGAGTCTAACAATCTGTATAGAATTACAAGTAATTTAATAATTGAATTGCCCCCCAGTGGCACAGCGGTATGTCTGCGGACTTACAACGCTAGAAACCGGGTTTCGATACCCGTGGTGGGCAGAGCACAGATAGCCTTTGTGTAGCTTTGTGCATAATTAAAAACAAAACAAACAATAATTGAATTCTTGAGTATTTTTGCCTTAATAATGATATGTTTAGGTAAGACGTATCATTTAGCGAATTCTCTTGTACTTTTATGTATTATATCTTTATATATATATTGTCTAACGATCTGTATACAATTACAAGTAATTTAATAATTGAATTCCTGAGTATTTTTGCCTTCATAATGATATTGTTACGTCTCCGTTCGTTGGTTGATTTTCCGTAACTTCGTTCCGACGAAACTTTAGCGACACAAGTCCTTACTTAATAAAACTGGTTTATTATTTCCGAATACAACTTTACGATACACTTAATTT